ATTACCATATCCATCATGACCATCTACAAAATCATAACAAGAAATTTTCTATTTTATTATTTTATACATACACTGTAATCTCTAAAATTAGCAATCCAATGCAAAAGTGTGTCACCATTTACAGTAATACTAGAACAACACACAAATATGGCAATATTTTACAGATGAAAATTGAAAAAATATCTAACTATTGTATGCAGTCACATATATGTAAAATCTATCCATACAAACAGGCATGATATTTCAGCAAAAATGTATTAAACAATTCGTTTAACTCAAAACATGTACATATGTATCACAGTGACACAGTACATATACACACACAATAGGATCAAATGGCGCGATAACTTTGTTCAGTGTATTTTATATAAAATTTATACAGTACAAGAATAAAAACAACAAAACGGAAATTTGACTGTAAAATTATTAACACGATAACTGTATTAATGCATTGTTACTACAAATCTGTAAAAACAGGCAAATAACTCCCAAAGTTTTCTAAATAGTCTTTCAAAAGTAGTTAAACACTTACTGTAAAGAAAAATTATCCTAATATTAGGGAACTTTCAAAATTCATTGTGAAAACCAAGCTTTGGTGGCGCAATACCAAAGAGTAAAAATATATATACTTCCTCTGTGGCAATACCTTCCCCAGATATTTAGACGCCACTTTGGCAAAGGTTGAAATGAGTATGGTCACTTCAATGCCAAATATCTCGAAATCTGCAGCGGATCTCGGGGATCCCTCCAGCAGATTTTTAGTTTAGACATTTGTCTTGAATTTTTTTGCACAAATTACGAAAATCGAACCATGGGAAATCCAGATTTTTTAGTTTGAAAGTTGTAAACAGAATCGGACTTGAGTCATCACGTTGCCACATGACCAACTTTAATCATCGAAAACAGGTTAAAAAATAACGTTTACCTCAGAAATTCTTGCACATATCGCCAGTCCTTTTATAATACTAAGGCCACGGTTGCATTTTGATAGAAAAATTTTAATATTTATATATATTTTTTGAGTGCTTCTGTGTCCAATGCAAATTCAGTTGACGGGCCAAAAATCTTCGCAAACACTATGGGAAAATAGCGCCATTTCATTGGTCGAGCTTTTCACGTGACAGCTGTCCAGCCTCCGATTGGCTGCCACCCTCTGCCACCCCTATATTAAAGCTTCAGCCAATAGAAATTAAGCTTCTTGGAGCTGCTATATTACTGTTTTCATGCAACTGTTTCTGAGATATTGCCATTTTGGTGAAAGCTCTTGAATTCAGTCACGTATTCGCCATATTGCTTGGACGTTAGGGGGGTAGAAACATTGTAACAGCTTGGGCGTTAATGAGTTAAAGCAATAAAAAAATTGGGTAAGCCAAAGGTGTCAACACACAACTACAAATGCATATTTTATACACGTACCTCTAGATATCAAGCTTTGCAATGTTTCAGCAACCACCGCCTTCTTCAAATTCCTATAAAATACTTTGCACAGCATTGCGATGCTAATATGCTATGGATTCTCAAAAGGTCTCAAAAGCACATTCAAATACAACCAAAGCCATCTTGTTGAGTCTGTTCAGTGTTGACGCACAAGCAGCCGGATGCAGCGACGAAACCGGAAATAGAATTGTTCCCAGGGTATAAATCTCGAACAGCCATTTCCCCACTATCACAGAATACTACACAGAAGTCCATCTCCATTGTTTTTAGCGTAAGCTCTATTCGTCATGATTCGTCACTCAGCAAGTACCGTAAACAGAAGCAGTCACCCCCCTGGACATACGCCATTTGTAGTATTTCCAGGAGGGGGACTGCTTCTGTTTACGGTACTTGCTGAGTGACGAATCATGACGAATAGAGCTTACGCTAAAAACAATGGAGATGGACTTCTGTGTAGTATTCTGTGCCGCTATAGTCCCCGACCATCTATGTCCCCGACCTTGCATGCGAGGAAGCAATAGCGATCCCATTCCCCGTATTGCGGCGAATGAAAAACGAGTAATATCTGGCGTTTGTCCCCGCATTTCCCCGCTCTTTCCCGGGTGGGGGGAGGCGGGGATTTACATTGACTGGTGCATAACATAAGCTTTAAAATTGTTAAAATTGCTAACCATTTCATAACTTTGATCGAGCAACTTCGACCATCTATTATGTCTATTATCCCAAACTTTGACCAATTTTTCCGAGTTTTACCTTCAATTTTGACCAACTTTGGACAAATACCAGTTCTATTTTGACCAACGTTTGAATTAACCCCCTATGGCGACGTCCCTGCGAATAATTCTGATATCCTGCGTAGTGCGTAAGCCGAATTCCATCAATAATTCTTTTATTATTCAGAATCTTTAAATTTTCAGAATCTTTGTCTTGAACTATTTTTTCAATTGGCTCTGTTGAAACAGAAGCAAAACGAGCAGAAGCCATTGTCAAAACAAAATAATTTTACAAAATTTCCCGCTCTTTTCCAATTCATGCAAAATACCGCTGCAAACTGATACGCGGGCACCTACAGATACGATATTTATTTGTCACATATCACAAAAACCTCATCCAATAATTGTTAATTATTTTAATAATCATTCTCCAAAAGTTAAGAATTTAATGGTCTAGCTACTGTGTCATTAATGTCTAATTAGTTAACGAGGTTTCTCAAAAATATCAGTCCAAACCGCATGTTTACATTTATGTATCAAAAGCTGACTCTTCCACAGTCCCTCGTTATATTTTAGTACGGGAGAATATGCCCGTTCGCGGGTTAGGCGTTGACAACACACGTAACCCATTCCCATGATCCAACGCGAGCGACAGGGAACGAGTCAGTATTAAAAGTATGTTTATGCCACTGAGCTATAATATTACTGGAGGAGGTGCTCCTATCTCTCGTCAGTCAAAAAAGTGTCGCCAAAAACATGGCGGATTTTCACGTTTGCTTACGCCATCTGGTTCCTTTTGGCAATGGTATTTACCACTGACAAACCGCGATCCTAAGCTTTTCACGGTGTCTTTCACCCCCCTGGATTTTCGATAAAACGGGAAAATGTTTTTGTTTCGAGCTAAAAATATTTTTCTCCTACTTTGCTTGTTTTACAAAGTCGACTAAAAAATGCCTTTCTTATCCGCTTGTGGATGCTACAATACGCTATAAACGAAGAGTATTTTCTTCAGGTAAGAAGTATTTTTAAAAACTTTTCAAATGGCTAAAAAATTTGTGTGTATGAAATTTTGCTTTTGTATCAAGCTCGGGCTTTTGTGTTTTTATCTCGGTTTTTATTGCCAGTTACAGTAGTTTTAAATATTTTGTGTCCTCCTATATACCATTTATTAAAACTCTTACACTTACAATAAGCATTGTAAGCATTTAGTATACTGTGGATTTATTTGATATAATATTGATAAATAAGTTTCCTGTGACTATCTTAACCCAGACTGCAGAGTATGGCAGTTTTCGACGAGATCTCGGGTGTGCAAGACAAAAATTCAGGTGTGCAAGTGTGCAATCCTCAGTTAACGTAGTCAAGTGTGCACTTGTAAATAGCTACATGTTCTAATGATATTATTAAAACAATGATTGTTTATTT